TTATGGGGTGAAGCCCCCAACCGTACCCCACATCGCCGCCCCACACAACGCACCATCAGCTCCACCGAGCCGTCGGTGATGCTGGAGCCGCCCTGAGAGCGATCGGTCAGCACCGTCAGCTGCACTTTGTCGTCCTATGGGGATGAATGGGGCCATCAGCGCCGCCCCACGGCAGCCCGACCCCAAAGCCCCCCCTCGTGGACCCCCATTCCCCCCTGTTTACTCCCATTTCCCCCTCTTGAAACTCCATTCACCCTCTGGATCCCATTTCCCCCCCAAGAACCCCCATTCCTCCCTTTGGAATCCCCATTTCCCCTTCTCGATCCCCATTTCCCATTCTGGAGCCCACATCCCCCCCCCTCTGGAACCCCCANNCCCCAGTTCCCCCCCCCCTCCCCCCCAGGACCCCCATTTCCCCCTCAGCCCAACCCCACCCCCTAATTTGGCACCTTAATGAAGATCCGGGTGTTAACAGGGTAATAATTGCCAGCAACGGGTTCAGTTTGGGTCAGGTTCCACGTGGGGCGATAATTACGCCTGGGGGGAGGGGGATAAAAAGGGGGTGAAAGGGGTGAATGGGGGTCCTGGGGGGGGGGGGAGGAACGGGGATTCTAGAGGGGGAGCACTGGGGCTTTTTGGGGGGGCCACGGGGATTCTATAGGGGATAATGGGGCTTTTTATGGGGGCAATGGGGCTTTCTGGGGGGACATGGGGGTTCTATAGGGGATAATGAGGCTTTTTGGGGGGGCAACGGGGGTTCTATAGGGGATGTTTTTTGGGGGGAGGCTACGGGGGTTCTATAGGGGATAATGGGGGTTTTTGGGGGGGGGTTTTTTTGGGGTCCCACCGTCGCTCCAGGATCTGCCTCCCATTGGAGTCGGTGTAGAAGCGGCCGCCGCTGCGCAGCACGGTGTCGAAGCGGCTGATGACCTCCTTCCCCCATCCGTCCCTATAAGGATGGGGGGGGTTGGGGTGGTCATGAGGGGGATCCCGTGACCCCATAAACCCCCCCATCCCTTCCAACGACCCCCCCCACA